GTACACACTGTGAACTAAATCACATTGTTTGGTGGGATTCTTAACTGGAATGTGGGTTGAGCGACATGCCAGTTCTTCCGTGGGATGTAGAACTCAATTAGACTTTAGATCTTGACTTGGTCGCTTCATAACAGCTTCTTTTTCTGGGTTTAGGAAGGCGGCAGTGAGGAGGTAGGCCTGCATTGGGTCATTTCCGCGATAGAAAACCCATCTTTTCCGGCTAGTTCTGACTATCGAAGGGAAGCATTGTATTCTACAGACTATACTTGTACTTAGCCCGATCACATTTCGCTGGATACCTTGAGGAATCTCCGCTCATGGGATTTCCCCCCCCCCCAGCAACGTCATCGCCCTGATTGCTATAACAGCCTTTTGCTATTCCTTTTCTTCTCTTCCTGCCGCTGCCTTTGAATATCCACGCGTTGGAATGTAATTCGAATCGCAGAACCTTGTGGATTCTATCCGCGATCTGCACACGTTCTGACGTGTTGAATTCCACCGCAGAAGCCCGCGAAGACTTGCCTCGTCCGGATCGCCGCGCAGCCCGCCGCGCGATTCGCCGCGTGCAACCCCGGACGCACCAAAAGTCCTCGCACCCACCGTCGCCGCCCTTTATAGAAGACGCGCGGATTAGTTGCCTCCAACATACATCGTAGGATATCAACATATCATTTTCTGTCAGACTTTGCTCACAGGGGCATTCAGTACCCTGATTTCGAAACCGACATTAATTTTTGGGGTTGACGTCATTTGGCACCAATTGGCGACACTTTGTTACGACTGCTATTTTCCTAAATTTGCTCCAATTTTATACAGTGCGTACCAAAAGTATGTGGACACCCTAGAATCGATTCTCAGGAGTCAGCTAAAGGCTTTTTGTGTTATGAAACCTTCACCATTCAACTCCTAGTGGTCGATAACCTACAATGACATTTCGGCAAAAGATTTCGTTCTAACTTAGCGAACTATTTTTCATGGAAAGTTTTTTCTTTGTATCAAAATTATGTGGACACCCTGAGGCAGATGAAGTTTTTGCATCGATTTCCTAACCTATTTTTACTTCTCCTTTCGTTACTTATTCTGGCATCATTCCTCTTCACGGCAAGCGTTTTTCTGAAGAAGACCGAGCACAGAAATGGGATCCCCATGCTTCTGAACCTTCCTATTGCGAAATAGCACGTCAACCAGTCATGCGTCCTCGTAGGTTTGGAGAGAAATCCGAAATCCTGATGCTAAGCTCTCGACCTTGACTCAATCGCTACTTGTTCAAAACAGGAGAAGAATAGCCTTAATTTTCTCAAATTATTCTTTTCGTACTACTCAACTTTACGCATAAATGATCTTCCCGATCTTAAAAAAGACCAATCGGTGTCTCATTCAATTCAACACGAAAGAAGATGAAGAAGGCTTTGTATATGAATGCGGGTTCAGGTTGGCAAGGTTGGAATTCCCACTCAAAAAAGGATCACAACATGATACTTTGAACCCACACAGACAGCGCTTTCGTGGAAATGGTAAAATTAGTATAAAAGACTTTCTGTGGAAATTTCTTTCATAGACCAACTCGACTGGCAGAAAGAAGCTTATTCCTTACTATTCGGGTGGGTCTTGAGGTTTTTGGAGAGACTTTGGTCGGACCCGCAGATGTGCTCGAAGAGACAATTCGGAAGATGTTCATCAAAGGTCTGGGGTGGTTCCAAAAGGAGGGGGACATTGGAGTTTGGCTTGCCAACATGTCAGGTAGACGACTAGGATTATAATGAGGTGCTTGAGTCCCGGCTACAACCTTTTTCGAAAAGTCATGGTTGCAAATCACTTGTTTTGCAGGGGAGGTCCCTGACACCATTCCATTTGGAAAAATGCTAAACGCAACGGCTTTGATTGGCAAGTCGGCTAGCGTATTCCTCAGACTTCATCCTTATTGAAAACGTAGAGGTATCGTGGTTCGCGGTCTCTACGTCATTGAACAAAAGAGTAATATCACAAGTGACCTAACACGTCGGTGAAATTTGCTAGTTGGGAACAGATCTGCAAGACATGTATCCAGACCCATTCATAGCATGCCAAACAGAATGGCTCAACTTACTAGAAACTTTGGTAGGCCTACCGATTTCAGATTCTGAAGATATTGCCGTTTTTCAAAAAGTGTCCACATAATTTTGATACAAAGAAAAAACTTTCCATGAAAAATAGTTCGCTAAGTTAGAACGAAATCTTTTGCCGAAAATATCATTGTAGGTTATCGACCACTAGGAGTTGAATGGTGAAGGTTTCATGACATAAAAGCCTTTAGCTGACCCCTGAGAATCGATTCCAGGGTGTCCACATACTTTTGGTACGCACTGTATCACCTGTATCACCTGTCGTCCCGTTGATCGAATTTGCTCGAGCGGGCGCCAGCAACGTCTCCATTCGTCCCTGTCGCGTGCAAGAGTTGGTCCAGTGGATCCTCCTCGCTCGAGGGACACGAAGTCCTTCATTCCTTTCGTTCAGAGCTTTCGTGAAGAAGTCTGACCATCGGGCCGGCGGTCGTCCAGGTGTTCGTTTGACGTCCCGAGGGATCCAGTCGGTAACCGCTCTGGTCCAACGGTCATCGCAAAATCGCATGACGTGTCCGGCCCACCTTATCTTCGATTCCTTAGCGAATAGGCAGCGCCCCTGATGGTTGACTTAGATCTGAACTCCAGATCCCCTTTTTGTGTGTATAGTTACCAAGAAACGTCCTCTTGAATAACGCTGACCACTGCTCGTTCTGCCTGAGAGCCCTAGTTGAGGTAGATTGGGGCAGGAAGGACTGCTGCAGGATCGTGAAGATCGTATGATATTGTACTCGGCGCACCATGATGTTGCTTCTGCGAAGAGACTACAGCGCAGATACATACAGAGAGGTGCTGAAAATTGACCCCCCTTCAAAGGTATCAGCGATGGGCTCATTTTAAACCGTAGCTCGCCTCTCTACGAGGTTGAAACCCAGACCTTTTGGGACACAGATTCAAGCTAGCATCAAATGGTAGCAGAGTCACACTGCAATGCCGAAACTCAACCCCTAACGCTAACGAATGCTAGCTCATCACTTTTGGTGAGTTTTTCCTCTTTTCTGTTATTAGTGTCAAATAGTTCTGCACATTCTGATTACGGATTCCGTTTCAGGGAAACACCAGACTACCACTGAAACTAGAAGGAAATCCGCAAAACCTGCTGCTATCTCAATCATGGAAAGCAACAAAACAACTCAAGCTGCACAATCTGCGACAGGTGATGAGAAAAGACATTCACTTTATTAATCTGCGAGGATAATTACGCTACATACATTGTTTTTACGTCAATATAGCACAAGCTGTCACAGGTAATGAGAAAGGACACCTTTTGCAAAAACGTGCGAGTTCAAAAGTCTTTGTCTTGTTTGGGTTGGGTCTTCTTGGCGAGCTTTCGGCGCTTAGCGCCTTTGTCAAGCCTGAAATGAAATGAATAAGTAGAAGCTTTGAAGTCTGTTAATATATTAAAATATATTAACTGACTCACCTGCTGTCCACTGACAAAGTGTAACACTTACCACCCTGTCGGTTTGTGAAGCAGGAACTATTCCCTACCCTAGTCTTACCCTTAAATAGCGTGACGTGCTACGACCGTTATTTCCCAAATATCGCATTCATTCCACAGTGATGATAACTGCAGTCATGCGATGAGTTGAAGAGAGTCACGTAACTCGTCTCTGCTATTTATTTCCGGGGCTAGTCTTTTTATTTCCAGAGCCTCCAGTATTTTGCGTTCCACTGTGTTTTCAACGGAACGGTGTAGGACTTTTACGTTGAGGGTGGGTGGATCCCCGTGGGCATGTTGTTGGGTTCTATGTTTGGAGAAGCTGTTACCCGGATACTTTTGTAGAGCCTTCCGATGTTCATCAAGACGTATTGAGAGCGAGGGACATTACGTCACATCCTTACGACATTGTTGACCTTCCATGCCGTTTTTCCTTGCCAATTCTCAAGTATATCCAAAACCTGCAGCGCCAGCATCAAATTAGCAGGTACATTTTCACTGCTTCACTGAAATTCGCAGCTTTTCACCATGCTGCTGCCTCATACGTGAATCGGTTAAATTTCTCCTCCAGTGCAAAACTTACCATGTGGTACTAAAATTTCTCGAGGGCACCCTATCCTACTATATATAAGTGGCGTAGTATGTCTGTCTGTGTGTGTGTCTGTCTGTCTGTCACGGCAGCTGGGTAGCACGCAACGCGAGAGGGGGACGCGAGCTATGCTGTTCGAGGGAGCAGCTATTAAGGCATGATCGCTTGGAGGCGGGACTTGGCTAAGGGTGGGTACGGTAGTGGGCGGAGCCTGACCCAAGGGGCGGGGCATGCGCCGAAATCTATCGAAAAAAGGGTTTTAATATTGGTTTTTGCGCAGAGGGCTCCGTCGGGGTCGGGATTCGCAGTAATGATTGGGGGCAGTGGTCAAAGTTGAAATTTCGTCAGGTCACATGCCTATCGATCGATATCGATCGAAAATATCGGTTTTTGCGCAGAGGGCTCGAAGGAGGCTGAGAATCACAGTATTGATTGGGTGCTGTAGTAAAAGTTGAAATTCCTTCGGGTCGCGTGCTATCGATCGATATCGATCGAAAATATCGGTTTTTGCGCAGAGGGCTCCGTCGGGGTCGGGATTCGCAGTAATGATTGGGGGCAGTGGTCAAAGTTGAAATTTCGTCAGGTCACATGCCTATCGATCGATATCGATCGAAAATATCGGTTTTTGCGCAGAGGGCTCCGTCGGGGTCGGGATTCGCAGTAATGATTGGGGGCAGTGGTCAAAGTTGAAATTTCGTCAGGTCACATGCCTATCGATCGATATCGATCGAAAATATCGGTTTTTGCGCAGAGGGCTCGAAGGAGGCTGAGAATCACAGTATTGATTGAGGGCAGTGGTCAGGGGTCAATGTGGCTCGGAGGGGGGGGGCTGTTGCCTTCGCGGCTTAGCGAAGTGGTGTTTACTCAAATATTCTAACTTCTCACGCATGTCAAGTGACTGCCCTCACCCCCGACCCCCCTGAATTGGCCACATGCCCCCTGGCACACGAATTTACTGTTGCCGCACGCGCCTTGATGGTGACTGTCCCCCCCACCCGAGCCCCACTGTGCCGTGGTCAGAATGGAAATTTCATCCGGTCACATGATGTCGATCGATATCGATAGAAAATATCGGTTCTTGCGCAGAGGGCTCCGTCGGGGTCGGGATTCGCAGTAATGATTGGGGACTGTAGAAAAAGTAGAAATTCTACCGGGTCACATGCTAGGAGCGATGATTTTATACTGCTATTGACTGGACGCCATTCATTGCGGGACCGCTGCCTCCACCCACAGCGAATCCTTGAGAACCCCAAGCGTTTGAATTCATTGCCATCTACCATTTCCTCAGTGCGGAGCGGGGAATCCGTGAGCCAGGGGGAGTGTAGCCAGTCTAGGGTGTGGGGGTGAGGGCAGCCAGCTGACATGCGTGAAAAGCTGGAATGTTCGAGTTTACACTATTTCGCTTGAGAGAGCGCCAGGCGCTGAAAGAAGCGCCGCCCTTTGGTCCCAACCCCCTTAACGCCAAAAAAGGCAGAGTCACAGAGGGTTGGAGAAAGATGAGGCTTGCTAGTGGGTCTGGAAGAATGGAATGGCGGAGGAACTTTAGGGAGCTCCCGTAATGGAAGTGTCAATTGAAATGTGAGTGTTCTGAAACTAAATTCCCTTTTATCCCCACACCATTGAATTTTTTTGCTCAATGTGGCTCGGGGGAGGGGGGGGCAGTTGCCGCCGCGGCGCATCGCATGCATGCATGTTCGACATAGTGGAACCTCGAACATCCCAGCTTTTCGCGCATGTCAAGTGATTGCCCTCACCCCGACCCCCTGAATTTGCCACATACCCCCTGGCTCACGGATTCCCCGCTCCGCACTGAGAAAATGGTAGATGGCAATGAATTCAAATGCTTAGGTTTCCCAAGGATTCGCTGCTGTGGGTGTTCAATGGCCAGTTTTCGCCTCCTCGGCATATTTATGCGGGCCGGCTGAGCCAGAGCGATGGTCCTAGCAGCAGTACATTGCCAACGAATAGCGGACCTTTCCGAATTAATTTACTGTCCCTTGCGAGCCCTCTGCGGTCAGAAAAAGAGCATCATTTTTTATCGCGGATATCGATCAAACATCATGTGACCGGATGAAATTTCCATTCTGACCACGGCGCAATGTGGCTCGGAGGGGGGAGGGGGGAACAGTCGCCATCAAGGCGCGTGCGGCAACAGGAAAATAAATGCGTGTGCCAGGGGGAATGTGGCCAATTCAGGGGGGTCGGGGGTGAGGGCAGTCACTTGACATGCGTGAGAAGTTAGAATGTTCGAGTAAACACTACTTCGCTAAGCGAAGGCGGCGACAGCCCCCCTCCCCCCCCAAGCCACCTTGCGTCCTGACCACTGTCCCCAATCACTACTGTGACCTTCGACCTTATTCGAGCCCACTATTCAAGCTGCACGAAAACTGACGTTTTTAATCGACATGTCACGAAATTTACATTCTGACCACGGCACAGTGGGGCTCGGGGGGGGACAGTCACCATCAAGGCGCGTGCGGCAGCAGTAAATTCGTGTGCCAGGGGGCATGTGGCCAATTCAGGGGGGTCGGGGGTGAGGGCAGTCACTTGACATGCGTGAGAAGTTAGAATGTTCGAGTAAACACTACTTCGCTAAGCCGCGAAGGCAACAGCCCCCCCCCCCGAGCCACATTGACCCCTGACCACTGCCCCCAATCAATACTGTGATTCTCAGCCTCCTTCGAGCCCTCTGCGCAAAAACCGATATTTTCGATCGATATCGATCGATAGCATGTGACCTGACGAAATTTCAACTTTGACCACTGCCCCCAATCATTACTGCGAATCCCGACCCGACGGAGCCCTCTGCGCAAAAACCGATATTTTCGATCGATATCGATCGATAGCACGTGACCCTGAAGGAATTTCAACTTTGACCTACAGCCCCAATCAATACTGCGAATCCCGACCCCGACGGAGCCCTCTGCGCAAAAACCGATATTTTCGATCGATATCGATCGATAGCATGTGACCCGACGGAATTTCAACTTTTACCACTGCCCCCAATCATTACTGCGAATCCCGACCCCTCGAGCCCTCTGCGCAAAAACCGATATTTTCGATCGATATCGATCGATAGCATGTGACCTGACGAAATTTCAACTTTGACCACTGCCCCCAATCAATTACTGCGAATCCCGACCCCGACGGAGCCCTCTGCGCAAAAACCGATATTTTCGATCGATATCGATCGATAGCATGTGACCCGAAGAATTTCAACTTTTACCACAGCCCCAATCAATACTGCGATTCCCAACCAACGGAGCCCTCTGCGCAAAAACCGATATTTTCGATCGATATCGATCGATAGCACGTGACCCGAAGGAATTTCCAATCAATAGTTGCTATACGACATGTGCGAATGGAAGAAATGCCCGGCGCAGCCGGGCATCCAAGAAGGAGCAGAGCCCGGCGTAGCCGGGCGATGCGACTGGTATAATATACTACCTAATAAAAATAATCAAACACTGCAAACCAACCGCGCAAAACTAAAGATTTCTCTGTTAGACGCCAGCACCGAAAGAAAACAGGAATGCATTCGGGGGATAATCTCGTCAAGGGAGTTTGGCGACCCATAGAACCGGGGCTATGGAGGGATATCTCGGACAAAAACTAAACAGTATGCTCCCGTCCGCGAAGAACTGAAGCCCGCCTCCTCAATAGAAAATTACAAAACTTACGTGACAGGCTGATCCGCAGATGGAATGCAGTGCCTGCCTCCTTGTACTTTCATAGGGAATAATTAAGTGGATGATGATGTGGAGGCAGCACTCAATCTAGGATCATCCTTTGCTGTATCAGAATCGTTGAATTACAGGACGATGAACTCGGTTTATGTTGGCTTCAACAAATTTGCTTATCAATTGCGGTGGCGGGAAAGCATTGGTTCGACCGTCCTTGATAGAGATTCAACAATTCTGATTGCAGCACCGACCCCCAAAAGCTGGTTTAGTGTGTCAAAGCAAGTACCCACCCTGGAACCATTACCAGCTTAACTCCTAAATCTCAAGGAGGTTTGTTCAAAAGCGGGGCAAATAAAGTTTGGTTCCAACTCTACGGAACAGGATTTGCGAGGGCTTAAGAACTCATAGCTAAAAGGGGGAAGCTGAGGTATAGCATTGGAGAT